GCTCCAGTCAACAGGGCTTTGCAAACAGGCAGGAAGACCTCAGCAAATGGAATACTGAATGTAAGCCATTGCTGATAGTTAGGGTTTTTGATCTCATCTAATCAAACGTAACAACAATGAAAGAATTTTACTGCTGTATAATTCAGGAGAAAACACTAACAAAAAAATAGCTCTACAGTTCTTCAAGCATGTTTTTGAACAAAAAATAATTATCATCAAGGCTACGCAGCAAGGGGGATGAGAAATAGGCAGCACTGCGCTTTTCTGATTGCCATTGTATTAATTTTTAACAATAAATTCAGTCATTTCCTTGAAGGATAATTTTCTTAAGTAAACTTTCATCTTTAGCATCTAACCCTTTTGCAGTATTTTATTCTTAACTGATTTCTGGGGAAAAAAAAGGGACAAACTGCAACAAAAAGCAGATTTATAAATATATACAATATCTTATTAGCTTCTAGGCGCTCATATTTAAAACAAACTTGAGCTCAGCTAAGCCCAATTATAGTATCTCGCTGGGCAGAGAAATTAATTAAACAGCTGAATGATAAAGACCCCAGCAGCAAACTAAGGCTTTAAAATAAATAAGATCGTTCTTTTAATTTTTTGAGAAGAAATAATGGAAAGAAAGAAACCTATAATAGACATTTCAAACATTAATGTAACCAGCCTTTTCAGGAGTGCAGTGCACTGTAAAAAATACCTGGTGGGAGAATGCAGTGGCAGCTCTAACGTGGCTCGCCAACTTTGCGTCTTGCTAATGTGCAACACACGCAGCCCTTTTGCATCAACTTCAAATAACCCTGGGATCTCAGCAGTGCAGCTCAGCAACAACCAGAACAAGGGCAGAACTTGTCAGGATTTAAAAGCTTTCAGCAAAACCCTTCAATTGCAGCCAGTACCCTATTCCATAGAAGGATATCAATTATAGATAGTGACTTGCTTTAGCAGTGCAGTCGGTACTGTCAGACGCTAGATAGACAACCATGAAGAATCATGAATCTTTCTATTAACTGTAAGAGAAGGAGGGGGGAGAGGAAGGATGGATAGGTGTTACAAATAAGGCAGAGTGTCTGATGGTTTAACACCTTGCCTTTTGGTGCATGCATCATGAAAATTTAACCATGCTGAATTCTAAGTGGCTCACATCACTTGAAAATAAGAGCACCTGTGCCAAAATTTCACTGTCAGACCCTTCTGGGTGGGTCAGTAATCATTTTTTTAGGTAGCTTTTTAGTTATTTATTCATAGCAGCTCAGGTTCTGTTAATAAATTCAGTCAGAAAACATTGGGACCAAAGCACACTTTCAGTGGCACCTACATTTTACACTAATAACTGCAAGACTTTGCTACAGAAATGCAGAAAAATTATATCAAATGCTGACTACTGAAATTGCATAACATTGCAATTTCCGCTGTAAAGCTATACCACATATTTAGGCACAGACTTTGTTTGCCTTTATCATTTCATACATGCTATGTCACACATCACTTTGTAGTGCTGATTCAACTACAGTTGATTTCAAAGTAAATTATGTCTCAAAGTTCCCCAAGAAATAACAAAGCTATCCGTATATGACAGACCAGAATATACATGAACTCATATTTACCTTTTTCAAACCACATGCATATGTTCTTGCATATGTATAGGATATGTATACATCCTATACACAGTGGGAGTGATGTCATCTATAGCATGAACTGTGTGCAGTGTGTATTGTGGAAAAGTTTTTTGAAGCTCTACTCAACCTGGCATGACTAGAATTCATGGAGAGTTACCTAATCCTTCAGGAAACAAAACAAACAGCTAGAAACATACTTCCAGCTCTTCCCTTAACACCACAGTTCCTCCAAAATTTCAGTGCGTCGGGAAGCAAAGCTTGGATAACAGTCTGTCCTGTGCCATTGGACATTCTGGGTCTGATCTCTTGCTCTTATGCATGAGTACAGCTGTACAGAAAGATGGCAGATGTTATCTGGATGAGCCTTGCTAGGGCAATTTAAGCCTTTATTACCTTTATCTATGCCAGTTGCTTCTGTCTTCGTGATTACTATCCCACAGCAGAATCAACTACCCGGATGGTTATCTACACTTTTGACATCCTGTCCAGCATCTTACTTCCAAACCTTCAAGCTCTTCAAGCTCAGCTGGAGCAGCTCAGGCCCTGTTGAGTCTGCCAGTGGGGATCACCAGGAGAGCAGTAGCACATGCAGCCAGGAGAGGCATGGTGGCAGAACTCTGCTGCCAGATCAGGTGGGTCCTGACAGCCAAACAGCCCGAAGTACGTGGCCCCAGAGCCACAGGGTGAAAGACCTTGTACGTGTATCAGGTGCCCTCCTCCTGCCATGCTTGAACAGGAGGAGTGGCATTGTGAGGCCTCGGGCTTGGAAAAGCCATCAGCTGCCCCCACAGTGTCAGGGCTGTGGAGCCAAGCGTGTGCACGGGCCCTGAGACACACGCGTTGCCTGTGCCTGGCTCAGGCATGCACATGCACCACACACAGCACTCAGAACTGTGCTGACACTGATTTAAGCACAGCTACAGCAATTTGTACCTACTTGGATTTACCTACAGTATTTGGATAGGAGGCATACATGAGCCATACCACTTTTTCACCTCAGATTTTCAAGGACCTCATGCTCAAGGACAGAACACTTTCTGCCAGAGTGACACACCTAAGCAAAACCAGGACTGCCCTTCCATGAAGCCCTGCTGAGACCAGACTTCACATCCCTAGTTGCTGCAGATGTACATCAGAGGGCTGTGGCAATCAAAGGCAGAAAAAATGTGCAAAAGGCAGACTGGAGTGAGCGGCCAGACTTTCAAACAGAGTTAGATGTCTAAAGCCCTTTGCAATTCTGGGCAGAAATAACTCGCTCAAGTCCCCACAGCGGGGCTCTGCTGGAGCAGCAAAAGAAATCACAAACCGTGGCCCCATCACTGCATCCTGCTGACTTTTACAGCATGATTTGTGCTACTTAAATGTAGCACAAATGTGATGGTTGCCATGATGAATTTATTGTCTTCAGGGTATAGAGTCAAGCCTTGTACCTTGTAATCTAAACATCATTACAACACACCTCAATCCAGAGCCCTGCTAAAGGGCTCTGTGTCTTAGAAAACTTTTTTATATTCCTTTTCTATATCTAGAGAAACTTGTTTCAGATGTTTCCATTGTTCAGAAGCATAATACACTTTTTTCAGTTGACCATTGCTGTTGACTATTAAAATGCAAGCATATTTTCTATAAAAATCCCAACAAAACCAACAAATTAACTTTAAAATTACACTCCAGAAGAACTAAACTACCACCCTGTCAATTTAATTCACTGTAAAATACAAAACACAAGCTATTAGCTAATATGCTCAGTGGACTTCCATTATATTTTACACCTGGAACATCAAAAAAACATTTTTCTTTTTTTCTTGCCAAAGTTACCTTTATTCTGAATTTCTCTTTTAGTTCATATATTCATATATTTTTGTGTGTATTATGTATTGTCACTGGGATAATTTCTGAATACCGAAAGTTTTCCCAAGCATCATAAAACTTCAGCCTTACAATTGCTAGCAGATATAAAGACTGTGCCTATGCAGAGCCCCATATGATGTCATTTGGTCTGTTTGCACAGAATCAATTCAAAGACCAACATTTGATCTTTTAATTTAAATGTGTCAAATGACTTGCAGAAGTATGGCACTTCTTCCCCAAAAGGTACTGTGACACCAAGACAGTTTCTCTCTCCTAACATTTCAGTTTAGCCAATTCAAATGCTAGGGAATTACGTGTGCAGAATGTCTCAAAGAATTCTTAGAAAAATGTTAAATTTTGCATATTATTTTCGTTGTTGATAGTCTTTGATTTACCATTATTGTTGTTACTGCCACTGCTACTACTTAATAATAACAAGAACCTGAAAATACATCTTGATGACTAACTGCAACACCAAGAGGTTCTCACACTCCAGCAAGTGAAAGCTGACATTGCTTTACTAAAGTCAGCTTTGCAGGATAAGCTTACCATTTGTCATGGTGTTTGGAAATATAGGGTGGGTTTTATTTTTATTTATTTTGGGTGAAAAAGTGGATTTTTCAACTAGTTATTTCAGAAGTACTAGCCACATTCTCTAGTAGATTTTGCATGATCTCCAGTAAAGTATTAAACAATTTTCTAAACTAAATACAATTCTGTCACAGTGCTCATTTGATGAGGATGTTTGTCTCTATTCTTTACTAGAAATTAATTTCTTTTTCAGAGTATTCAATATGTTCTATGATGCCAGTAAATCAGAGAGGTGCTGCTGGTTAAGGAAGTTAGAACTGCAAGGGATTGTACTTTTCAGGATGTATTCTGAATTTTGATTGCTCACTTTCTATCTCACAATACTACCAAACAGTAGAAATTTTTTATTTGGGAGAGGTGGCAGAGTGGGAAAAAAATTAAGGGAAATAGAATTAATATTTGGTATAGCACAGAAAAGATGATACAGTTTGCTTTTGCTAAAATGACTGAAGTAACTCAAGTCCCCATGTATTTAGCCAAATAATCTATTTCGGTTTACACACAACAGTAAATTGATAGCAAAACCTCTCTTAGTGAAGAGAAAATATTCCCCTCACCTATTTCTACTGTTACAGTCCCTTTGGGGAGAAAAAAAATCAAACTTGGCTAAAGGTTAATAATCATTCATGTCCAGCTTACTATTACTCAATAACTATCAAAGTCTCTAACTCAAAATAGCATTTGCTGGCTTACAGGATCAGAGCCATTACAATCTCTGTGGAAGACTTTATTGAATTTTACACTAAGCTTTAGCTGACTGAACAGGTCAAGCACTGTGGCTTCAAGTTTTCTTTATTCTCAGAAACTCATAAACCCCTCTCCAGTTTGCAGCTCTGTTAGCTAAGAAACTTGACTCAGCATAGGGTCAGAGAAGCTGACCCCCATGAAAAAGGTCACGTAGTTTTAAAACCTAGTTCCTGAATACCATTAACTTACATGCACTAGCTGCTCCTGCGTGTCAAACTCCCGGGAACAGCCTTCCCAGTGGCAGTTTGTCTCATAGACCACTTCAGGCTCCTGTTTGCTTTCATCTTTGTCCCCTTCCTCTTTTACCAAGGTCATTCCTTCTGGCTGTTCCTGGAGAGAGGAAAAAACAGGGGTGAGAAGAAGAGGAAATTCTAAAAATGAGGAGGAAGAAAAATGAATTACTTCAGCATTAAAGAAAGATGATGGGAGTGTGCGTGTGTGTGGAGGAGGCAGGAGAGGGAGGATTATTTTACTCTCACTTCACTTTGCAACTCCATTCTACAAAATAGAGAAGCCCAAAAGAGGCCTGATAAGCCAAAAGCCATTTGCAAACGATACATGTAAAATAAATTCTTTATTCCCTTTACATTGCAATTCAAAATAAATCATAATAGCCCAGCTTGTTATTTGTGCACCTGGCTTTCATGACTCAGTGGTACCACTTATGCGAAAGGCACTATTCAGTATAATTGAATTAATTGGAATTTGATTTTAGTACTAGGGTTGGACAGAAACTGGATCACCAGTAATCCGGTGTGTTTGCATTATTAGAACAGTATCAGGCTTCCATACTAAAACCTTTCCAAGAGCAGACTGGTAATTTTTGAGTTACTTCTTAGTCTGTTCTTGCCCTTAACATGTGCATAAAAGGGGTGAGCAGGGCACGAAAGTATTTTGTTTTGGGGTTAGATTTCCCACCTCCAGTTCATCAGGGTACCTCATTCTCCCCAGCTTTTTATTTGCTGAGGGTGAGAGCCATATGTTAGTGTAAATATTTGGTTCAGATTATGCACTCATGCTATTTTTCCATTCCAAACCTGCTGAAGGATTTAAAGAGACCTCTGCTTTGTTTTCATGGATTCACTCACAAGACTGAGGCTCTGATTCTCATCTCCCCTGAGTCACTGTAAATCAAGAGTCACTCCACTAAAACCTGTGGCATTAACTGGTATAGAATGTACAGCAAACGAGACTGGAGCCTGACACAGGGGCCTCAGTGCAGTACAGCGCTAAGACCCAGTAAGAGTCAAGGTGGCCTTAAGTATTTTTGCTGAACAGAAAACTTGTCCTTAATAAAGACCTGAATGTCTCTTGTTCACTTTTCCATGGCAAACAGAGCGTTGAGCATGCTCTGACTGGTCAGAGGTGCCTCTCCATCAGCCTCCTTCCTCTCTGCCCTCATCCTGTCACAGACCCTGCACCCCAGGAGCCATTCCCATTTAACCCTGGCTATCATGAGTGGAGACTGCCCGTGTGTGCAGCACACAAAGTGCAAGGAGCCTGAAAATCTGTGTGTCACAGGAAAGGTGCATTTTCACTCCAGCAGCAAGAGGGAAGGCTCATGACTGGAATCTGGCTTCCATACCTGCATGCTTCCTGCTCCTGGGCTGGGGAGGTCCTCGTCAGGCTTTATCTTGGAGCGCTTGTTGTGCATGGGGTCTCCTGTGCTGCTCACTGCAGATTCACTTGTGGGTTTATTCTGCTGCAGGCAGGTGGGTTTTTTTTTTCCCCCAGAAGAAGACAAAATTAGACTGTGATAAACATGTGGCTCCAAACAAAAATATGCAGCATCTGCTCAGCAACTTTGTATGGAGAAGCTGCACTGTTAATTATATTGGATATGCAATTACATTGTTCTTCAATTACATAGCATTAACTCATGAAAGAGCTGCATTGCTCAGCCTTGTAGTGGAGCAGGGAGGGAGTGGGAAGGGGAGCACTTGAAGCAATTGCTTGCTACAAACCAATGCTGGTTTTGTCAGAGCAGTGAGAGGTAGGAAGAACTTGATTTTCCACATAACAACAACTTTGGAAAGGCAATTTTGAAAAGGAAAATCCCTGCATGCTCAAAGAAACACAGGAGAAACATTTATTTTTTCACACTTGAAGGAAAAGTTTTGCATTTAATATCTGCACACAAGATCTCAGATGCTTTACTATGTTTCCCATTATAATGGGTGGATAGGAAGAACTGAATGCTAGTGTGAGACTCAGCCAAAAAATCCTAGATGAAGTCCTAGATTCCCACAAGTTAATAGCAAAACAGTTGACATAAACAGGCCAGAATCTTGTTTTTCTCTTGTTCTGCTCGACCGAACACCATTAACTACACCTGCAAATGGATCTTGTAGGAATCCAGAGATCTTTTAGAGATATCTGAACTTGCAGAGACCCCACAAAAAAATCAATATGTTTTCTACAGCAGTATGTTCTTCCTCCACATTTGTAAAAGCTAGCCAGGAGATAAACAGCTTCCAGGCTGATAAATAACCTATCCCAGGTCATAGAGAAATAAACAGCACTAGTTAATAGCAGGCAAATCACAAACCGTGATAAAGTCCACATTAGGGGCCTGATTCACTGCTGCTTATTCCCAGCATTTGAGAATACACCTTACTGAAATGATTAATTCAAACTCAGTAAGTCCAGTTTTGTGCAAATCAGAGAAGAAACCTTCAATCCTCTTCACTGTCTTTGAGTTTCTTTCTTGCTCACAGAATTACTTGCTTCAGGTTACACACAGTTGTACAAGGAGGGCAGAATATGACCCTGTATATCCTAGGGTCAGCCTGATTTGAAGGTGAAGCTGCTAATCTTTACAATATTGGTGTTTTGATGTGTTTTGCCCCTTTTCTTACTCCCCACCTCTCCTAGGTTCCTGTATAAGATCGAGGAACAAGAAGCTGCTGCAGTACACTGGAATATTTATGAGGACTTAAAAGCACACTACCAATCAGGAACTGCATCAACACTCCTGTGATTCATAATAAAGAGCCTGCAAACACTGGAGCTACAAGAACACTGTTATCAAAGGGTCTCAGTGACAGTGGTGATTAATTGCCATTGAGACATTGCCATTTATTTAATTTTTAAATTCATGAGGTGTAAAGGTTTCTTTTGTTGTCTCTCACCTGTGTGGACTCAGAGGGTCCAGAGCTGACTTGGACAGGGTTCAGGACACTGGGGATGCCAGGGATAGGTCTCTGGGTAGGAAAAGTTGGAGCAGGATGGATGAGTGGAGGGCTGTGTCCAAAGGCTGAACCTAGGGTTTGCTGACGACTTATAATTTGCTGATGCATTTGCTGGAGGGATACTGGTGTAGGAGGGTATGTGAAACTCAAAGCAGGGCTGAATTTGGGAGACAAAGGAGGGAAGAGAGAGGAAAAAGATGAGGATCATTACAGTAAGGAACTTTACAGATTAAAACTTTAAAATATATTTGATATCTTTAAACTAATTGAAGCCAGACTTCCCCCTCCCCCTCATATCCTTCCTCATGCCCCAAAGGATGATAAATCCTGATTTTAAATCCAGAGTTGCCCTGGATTTACTAGTGAGTACAAAAATGGTACCATAACAAAACAAAACATTTTTTCCTAACCTCTACCAGGAAACCACAGAAAGCTGACCGAAATAAAATCCAGAAAAACCAAAATAAAAGGCAGGCAGTTCAATAACAGCTATTTATTGCAATAACAAACTTTATATAAAGAAAAAGAATGGGTGCCTACATGCTTTATAGTACTTTTATTGATAATGCAGTTCCCCAATGTTCGTGTGTATGAAGCAATTCCTTTAATCTTGGCTCATGCTACGCTTTTTCATATGTCTCTAGATCTTATTACAAGAGGAGAGAAAATCAATTGGTTAAATGTGTTCTGAACACCATGCTTGTCATATCACTCATTTGTTTGCAAAGATGGAAAGCTCAGTTCATCCAGAATGTCACCTAAAGAATTTCCATCAGTGCCGTTTGGTTACAGAAACTGATGGATTAACCTTTCCCCTCTGAAATTGGTGATCAATGACTTCCAATGTAGAAATATTCCAATGGGAAAGCACTTCTCCTTCTTCCAGTTAAACAACATTAAATGTCTATTAAAGCCCATTATGTATGTTAATACCTGTCATCACTTCATTACTTCTCCGTATTTCCCAGACCACAGTGACTTAGGGGGAAATTACACTGCCATGTAAGGACCTATTTTGTGAGTAGCGCAAAAGCATTCTTTGTGTCACACTTGAGAAATAAATGGTGTGGAACTAAAAAAAAAAAAAAAAAAAAAAAAAAATCCTGTATTTGCCAATAACTTCCAATCATGAAGGAAAAAAAAAAAAAAAAAAAAAAAAAAA